ATATATATATAAATACATATATATACACACATACACTAAAGATATTCAGGCTGTGTGCCAGGGTTATGTTCTTTCACCATACTAATTCTGTCTGTATGCTGAGCAAATAATCCAAGAAGCTGAATTGTATGGAGAAGAACATGGCATCAGGATTAGAAGAAGACTCATTAACTTGTGATATATAGATGACACAATCTTGCTTACTGAAGGCCAAGAGAACTTAAAAAATTTACTGATGAAGATGAAAGATTATAGCCTGCAGTATGAATTGCACCTCATTGTAGAGAAAATGAAAATCCTCACAACTAGACCAATATACAAAATCATGATAAATGGAAAAAAGATTGAAGTTATCAAAGACTATATTTTGCTTTGCTTTACAATCAATACTCATGGAAACAGCAGTCAAGAAATCAAAGACATATTGCATTAGGTAAATCTACTGCAAAAGATCTCTTTAAAATGCTCTTTTACAGCAAAGTTGTCACTTTGTGAACTAAAGTATCCTGACGAAGTCATGGTATTTTCACCTCATGTGCATGTGAAAGTTGGACAATGAATAAGGAAGGTCATAGAAGAATTGATGCTTTCAGATTGTGGTGTTGGAGAATATTGAAAAGTACCATAGATTGCCAGAAGAGCAAACAAGTCTGTTTTGGAAGAAGTAAAGCCAGAATGTTCCTTAGAAGCAGGGATGGCGAGATTTCCCTCTTCTCCTTTGGCCACTTCAAGAGGGACCAGTCCTTGGAGAAGGACATCATGCTTGTTAAAGTGGAAAGTCAGAAGAAAAGAGAACAACCCCAAATAAGATGGACTGACACAGTGGCATTAAGGGTGGACTCAAACATAACAATTGTGAGCCTGGTGCAGGACCAGGGCGTTTTTCCTTGTGTTTTGCACAGGCTCCCTATGAGTCACAACCAACTTAATGTATACATAACAACAGCAACAATAAATAATGTTGTTGTTGTTAGGTGCCATTGAGTTGGTACTGACTCATAGTGACCTTATGCACAGCAGAAGGAAAGATATGTATATCTTTATACATATGAAGGAGTGCTGGTGGCTCTATAGGTTCACATTGGACTGTGAACCACAAGTTCAGTGGATGGAGTCTACCAGCTGCTCCGTGGGGAAAAGATGAGGCTTTCTGCTCTCATGAAGATTTACAGTCTTATAGAAACCCTATACAGGGTCACTGTGAGTTGAAAACATCTTGATGGCTCTTAACTACCACATCAAATTACACACACACACACACACACACACACACACACACACACATGTATCTATATGTATTGGCGTTCTGGTATGGCATTGCAGAATAATATACTGGGCCACAAGTTCAGTTTAAACTGCAAGGTTGGCAGTTCAGACCCACCTAGACAGGGTTGCTATGAGTTGGAACTGACTCGGCGGCACTTAACAACAATATATATATTGTTGTTGTTGTTAAGTTAGGATTGGTATGAGTCAGTTCTGACTCATAGAGACTTTGTATAGGGTTTCCAAAGAGTTGCTGGTGAGCTTAAACAGCTGACCTTGTGGTTCAAACCAACCTTGCAATTCCAACACTCAAACCTACCAGCTGCTCCTTGGAAACAGGGTCATTATGAACTGGAACTAACTTACTAACTTCACGGCACTTACAACAACAGCAACTTATATATGAAAACCAATTGGATCTGTAAACTTTCACTCAAAG